CGAGTGGCTTCTCTCTCAGCTTGACATGGAGCACAATCAGTTACGAGAAAACTGTAGAAACAAAAACAAGATAATTTGGACTATTTTAACTATTGCTGTAGTCAGTCGTCTATTATTGAAAACGCTGAGCTTAAACCAGTGCCGAAACATGACACTTAGCCGCACATACGGACGGTATGCTCACAGCGATCATAAAAAAATGAGTGACAAAGACTTTTCTATTACTATGATCAAACTAGAACGCTCCGAATTTTAAAGAGGTTCAGTGCACAAATAAACAGGCCCAATATTTCAATCGGGTCAATAGATATAATGGAATATACAGCAGCATGCACATTTACTTCAAAAAAAAATGTCATAAGAGAACGTAGTACCACAAGAATTCCTGTTAAAGTTTTTGCACTGTGGATGAAGAATATGCTATCTTAATGTGCTTTCATTATAAATTTGAAAGTTTCGCAAACACAAACGTGTGTATTTCGGGAATTTGTCGGATGAGCGAGGACATTCAACTGATCTGGTAGTGGATGAAAGGTACGATAGTTTACATTATAAGGCAGGGTATATAAGTTTTCTATTGTGCTCTAAAATCTTGCTTTATTTTTGTTCTCTGAATATAAGGAATTTTGATTAAAGTTCTTTTTAGGAAGGGAGACAAATGAAAGCCCGCTACCGGATTTATGACGGTTCCAGTTATGATTGTAATGAAACGCTTCAAGATAAACATCATGCTACATAAGACCACTTTTTGAATTGCTTATTGGCTAACATGCTAGGAAGGATTTGGCACACAAAATACATGCGAAACGTGGCCATTCTCTATGTGCCACTACGAAGCTCGAGGTGATAGAGCCCAGATCAACCAAACTCCAGCATTCAACATTAGGCAAAATAAAACCATTTTGCAATAGTAGATCGGATATTTAAAAATAAAAGGATTGAGAAGGATAAATTATTCACCGGAATGCATCAATTTTTCTCCTGGCACTTCGGCGAACTAAGTCAGTTTTATATCGTCAGCACGTCATATGAAGAGCACCATAAAGGAATTAAAGTGACGTGCTTTGGAATTTTGACGGGTATTTGGCAATTTCAACAACGCTTCCGCAAACTGTCTCCTACTCGATGGCGGATGTTTTAGCCTGTCTGTCTATCTGTGGAGTTTTGATCCCCCGTCGAGTGACGCCTTTGTCAAACGGTGTTTGCTTAGTTTTCTTATGATCAGAATTCCCACCCCTCGCTTATTCTTTTTAAGAGAATAGCGCAGGAATGTTTGGGTTATAAAAGGGCCAGCGTGCCTGGTAATGTATGTGAAATATGAGACCCATGCCTCGATTTTTATTCCTTTTGCAATAAGCTGCAACCTGCAGCTAGAAGTGTGAATATATTGTGCAACCAGTACGAGTTGTGCACCAGCATCTGATTGCTTTCTTTGTACTCGTGTATAAGCGTGAACAATTTTCATTCATTGCAATATCGGTTGGAGACAACTGCCGAGGTTTCAGTTAGACATAACGTATCTGTACTTTCAGGCAAAGGGCGGCGAAGTGTGATTTGGCCTATGTCTACAATCGGTGGATTGTGACACTTAACAGACTGCCTCAGCAATTACTTTAATATAACGACTGACCATACAGACCACGGCTTGCTGCTAGTTTGACCGTCATTTGTTCACTTGGTCTCCACATTGCTTCATTAATGGCTTTAATAACTATGGGCTTAAAAAATTCAAAAGTACATCTGTATGTCTGTTTAGTCGGCAAGTGGGATGTGAGATGACTCAGCTTTTCTGAATAAATTGCAGAAAGGTACTTTTGGGAGACAGAAGGTGATTGCTGTATAAAATGCACTTCTTGCGTTGTGACGTTGAGAAAGAAAAATGGGCTGTTTATTTTGGCCTCCACTTCGAACTGAGTTCAACAAGTACCAAATCTGCTCACTGGGAAATTTTCTCATAAAGACAAAAGTGTCGTACGATGAGCAGCACTTTCAAAGCGTCAAGTGGCCTATGCTTTGGGGACCACCTCACCAATCAAGCCTCATAGATGAGGTTCTAAATGAGTATATTTACTATGCACTTGTAGCTCTTCATCTTACTTGAAGTAGGTTTTAAGCCAAGGTTGTGTAAACCAGAAATATTCTGCCTATAGGGGTTTAACTAACTTGTCGTATAATTTATAATAACAATAGTTTATAATTTATATTTGTTTTTGCGGGTTGAATGTAATTGGAAGTCAAGGTGAAAAAAAACTGAAGTATATTATATATTCATCCGGCTCCAATTTTGAGTGTTTTATGCGTTCAAAGAATTCCGTATCCGAAATTTTTGCTGCTTATGAGTCCTCGTCAAGAAAGATAAGACGAACTATCATCCAGCAGTAAATGTTTCCCGATGTACGCTCCTCCTTCTTCTGATTTATCACCCGGGAATCGAGGTTTCAGCACTATTATTGTGACCAGTCATCCATTTCGCCAAACCATATGCAATAACTACATTCATAAAGCCAGGGAAGTTAAGTTGTACACTTGCTTTCCATGCCATCTACGGTCTGTAAAAACGAGTCGTGACGGGATAATTGGGTTGTATTGAAAACTAATTGGAATGTCAGTAACTTACAACCTCAAAGTTTAACCAGGAATGTATTTATTTGAATATTCAGACTTTTAATTGATTGAGTCCCGGCCTTTGATGGAGTAGTCAGACTTGTTAATCAATATAGGCAATACGTTCTGGTAAACCACTTCTTGTTTAAGGGCCCCCGCCCCTTGAACTGTGAAGTTTACCAACCAGGTGGATTTCTTTTTTTCCTGGTTTATAAATCAGTAATTCTATTCCATTTGCAGAGAGTGGAGAGCCTTTCACCCAGTACGCATTAAAGACTTCATTTGCTTGCGCCCTTTTCCCCATGTTCTCTTCGGTGGATTGAAACAAAGCATCTGGGACGGCAAACATCTTGACTTTAGGCAAAATTACAACAGTGAGAAAGAACCCTGGCGCTGGTAAAATTCCCACAGACCCAGTGATACTGCCACCCAGAAGTCATGGTGCGTAGAAGTAAAAGGAATTCTGGCTGGTGAGAATGAAGTCAAAGTCCTCTTTGCCAAAGTCTGCTATACGGAAAAGTGCACCGCGCAGTGCGCCTGTGTTTAAATCTTTTAACGAAACTCCAAGCAGCATAAACGTAATTGCGCGAAAGAACAAAAATATATATTTTGCGGGATCGCATTTCACAATGAGAAATGCACAGTAGATTTGATAATTTGAGTGCCTAGAAAATGATTTCTGTGTAGTTAAGGCACGCATATGGGGAACTCGACGAAGCAGAAAATATCCATCTATACTATGTGCTAAACATCGTGTAACTTTCATGACAGAATTGGACTTGATAGTTTAGATATATTTGATCGCATGATTTTGGTTCAGCAAGTGGATTTAATCCTGGGAAAGCCTTTTAGTTAGGAAATTCGCCCTTTTAGTTAGGCGTATTAAGAGAAATAGGCATTAATTTTCGCGAAAATAGGAGTAGTCCCATATCGAAGGAATTTCCTATGCTGTTGCGTACTAATGTGCATTATGCTATGAAGGAACTTTAAAATAAGTAAAAAAGTATAAAACATATCCCTTCCAGAACCGGAAAATGCTGTCCGAAATTGTTCAGATGCAAGTAAGTTCAGGTTTAAGGAATGGCATTTATTTTCGGAAACAAGGGACAATTCTAGTTATAAAAATAATTTTTTTGCTATTATGTGAGGCTTTATGCCACAAAATGCAGTAATAAATTTGTATGACAAAGGTTGTTTTACCCTACCGTAAACTGTGAGCGTAAACGTGATTATAAACGGGAACGCCCGACATACTTTCACTTTTTGTTGTTGAGCTGTGCCACGAGGATGTCAAATCATTTCCTATCTGAAGCTGATTTTGTCCGCTTACGAAAGTTGGCAGCCGAAGCGTTGCCGCGCAATTCCTTAGCTAATGTTTGAGATAAGCAGGGCCACCGTATCCAGAATTATTAACTATAAGACAGTGCCCAGAAGGAAGAATCCTGGACGAAAATGGTCAACAACAAAATAGGATGACGTTTTTATTCGTGGAAGACTAAAAAATACCATTATATGCCCGTTACGGCTATTCAGAGGGAATATTTGTCAATCTTCTCTCGGACCCTAGTTAGAAACAGAATGCGGGAATTTGGTCTTCATCAGCAGATGGCAATGGTTAAGCCATTTTTTAAGTACGACACCTATTAAGGAACGTTTCTTATTTGCTCAGAAATACGTCAGTCCCAGACTTTAATGTTGGAAAAGCATTCTTTATTGTGATGGAGTGTCCCTCTTAGACAAGTCTACAAAGTCGGCACATGCGGTCATATGCGGAAATAACTTCCCCAAAGAGCGCACTGCTTCGAAATCAACATTCAAGAACTACCGACGCCTCATGGTGTTAATGGCGATCAAGTTCGGTGAGCGACCAATCTGGCGGTCGAAAAAAGTTACGATTAAGAGTCACGTACATGTCAACATTGTCAAATATGTCTTTGGTTATAATGTCATTCACAGGCGTCGAATGGATATTGTCATGCTACAAGACAACGTTCCCACTCACCAATCAAAGGAGGTATGAGTATAATTTACCTTACGACTAGAATCTACTTTTTAAGACTACAGCCACCCTTTCCGCCTGCGGCCTGCGAACAACTGTTATTCCTCCAAACGGTCCCGACCTCAAGCCCCATTGAAGATCCCTTCGCCTTAATCAAGAGAAACTGGGACAAGCCCCCGAAACATCCTTCAACGGAACAGAAATTTGAGTTCGTCCTTAATAATCAGATAGACCAAACCACAATTGACAACATAGTTGTCTCTACGCCCTCCCGAATTACTGCTGTTATAAACGCTAAAGAACGCTCAACACAATATTAGTATGCTACATATATATTACTTTTCCTTTTTGTCCTTTTATCGTATTTTATTACACTGTTGTCCCCTTTATAACGATTTTTTATCCTTGACCTGTTCTACAGCCATTTTTTGGATCTGACAGTTTTCGGTAAAGCAAGTTAGGTCCTAGATAATACATGCTACTTTATACTTCGAAATGTGCCCCTTTTAAGGATTTACTTTTTTCCTTTCATGCAGTATAACGTGCGGTTCCGTTGGGTAAACGCGCTGCGAGCTGCAAAGGTTTCCATGCAGACTTGACGGCGCTACGCGAATTTTGGCACATACTGTACATGTCGTATAGATTACCCTCGTGTACTCACCTCTCCTTTCTGAGACATGATACTCATTCCCTCTTCCGTGTATAGAAGGATTATTAGAAGGCAATATTTATAAGTCGGATTGATTGGCAAGCGCGACACCGGTTACTCAGTAAATAAGCGTCCAATATTCGTTTCGATAATCAGTAACCTAATATCATCCCTCTGCAAACGTTTGTACCTGTGAAAGTACCTTACTTAGCATTCCCTTCCATATTATGTGTTACTTATGAACAGTTGTTCAAACAGAACAGGAGCGGCTTGTTTGGAAATGTTACGGTATAAATAAGTCATTTTTTCTGGAAAACCTTGTTGGTTGCGCTACTCTACACTCCGTGGGGGCTACCCATCTAGAAAATAATGACCGAAAACCCTACCTACATAGTTCGATATCCGATAACTTTGAGCGTCATCGCACTTCCAGTCAAAAACGACGATTTCTATGGAGGGATTGCCAATTTTTTGAAAGATAGAATTAATTATTAGGAGGAGTTGGTAGATTTGAGTAATTTAGTTGGCACATTTGGGGAAAAGCTCACGGCCTCGGTGGGAGTCGAACCCACACGGCGGGAAATGCTTTTGCACAGCCAGCGCTCTAACATTGATCTACGAGGCTCACCGTTAGCCGTGAATATAATCACACTGGCGTCCTCGTATGGAATCCACCATTACGGATACAGTATGTTGACTGCATAGGCAGGATTTTCTAAGGGATCATCTAGAAT